GGAATCCTGACCCTGCTAACACAGAGAACACTGACGGTTCAGGAGGAGACACAAAAACGGACAAGCTAACACAAGACGAAAAAACGCCCGCTGAATTCCAGGTTATTACGTCTCTTTAAAAATTGTGCAATATTGATTTTTGATATTGTTGTTTGTTATTTAATGTTGATAAATAAATAAAGATTATGATTTTTCAGAACACGCTTTCCGCTTTTTTTAATAACCATGTCCGTTGATTGTTTTTGTACATTAATTAAAGCGGGCAGCTCATGGGTAGACGCAATTGTCTGTAAACCACACGCTATGACCCAATCATCCTCGCCTCGCAGAGTTCTATTTCTACGAATATAAGCCTCGTCACATCAGCAACAGGTGAGTGGCTAACATACAGCTTTGTAATAATAAGTCCCCCTAAGAAGTAAAACATTAGTAATTTGGCCCCACTTAATAGACAACTGTAGTTGGTTATGTGGCTGGTCGTTCTTCGTGTGTGTCATGTCAAACTTTCATACTCTTTCTTTTTTTTTGACTAATCACTGGTAGTTCAATGAATGTTGCATCTGGCTAAACTCCAGGTAGACTGGGGTTCAAAATCTACTTAGATCGAGCGTCAAGAAGACCGAGTACAGTATCTACAATACAACAACCAAATCCCAGACCGAGATTAATACACTTTTCGCATAATGCCATCATGAAAGAATAAAGTGTAAACACTCTCTCTTGCAAAAAATGAACATTAACTAGTCAGGAGAGAAATCAGTTGTATTCAATATCCGGAAAATATAATCGGCAACATTTTTAATACTTTGAAAATACACATCTTAGGTGTTAGGTGCGCCCTCATCTCGTGTTTTACAATAACAATATTTTTAAGTTAACACCTGATCTGATATTAAAAATAATAATTTCGAGTATCATGACACTGAATTGATAAAACTTATAATCAATTTAGAATGTTCTATTAACTTTTGTGTTTTTTTCTAGTAATACATGTACCACAATTCTACGATGTTTTACGTTAGGAATGAAATAAAAAAATCAATCATGAATATAGACCTCAGTTGATCTATAGCTTTTATGGTGATATGCTGGTCATTTTGAATCACATGGAGGTTGTAAAAGCGAAAATGAACTTGCTAAATACATGCGAGTATTTTGAGAGTGGAACATCATGTATTCAATTGAGGAAGGAGTACCATGAGTGAGAGATGTTAGTGATGTCATTACAGTCTGAAAGAAGCACATTTCATTCGTATATCTTTATGGAAATGGGGGCGCTGCTCTTGGCAACAATTATTTAGTTTTATAGACAACAGATTTCGACATATTTATTTATTACATAGGTTTGCAATTTGTACACGGTGGTATAACACTACCTCAAAACATTTGTAAAACTAAACATTGTTTAACATTATTTCGTACAGTGGTCAAAGCTGAGTGCCGGGTTTAATGATTATAAATAACAATTGACATCTTCCGAACATACTGACTACACAAAAGGAGACACTCTTTTCTGTTGTTGCCATGGCACATTTCAAACCACTCTTCGATATTTAACTGATTAATGGATACAATGCTGCATTGGCGAGTGCTGACCTAATGTTGGTCGGGTGTTTCTGATTGGACGGAAGTAAATACGGCGGACGCCGATTGGTCTACCAGTCCTTGTCTAGCGAAGACCTCAACTGTAGTGTTTCAAACAATTTGGTTTCTTTTTGGAAGAGCACACGATTGCACGCTAACTATTATGGAAGAGTAATACATTTTTCCAGATTATTTGTATTATCCCACAGATTGTTTACCTTGCTAGTAATGCACTTCCTGTTTCGTAACACGCATGACTTGTTTCAGTTATTACGTTTATCGGATGGGTACGTATAATCTTGTAGTTCGTACGACAAACTCCACAATAAAGCAGTCCGTTAACGCCCTGTATTTCCGGTGTTGTATACGTTGTTGTGTGCGATGTCGATAACGAGAGTGTAGACAACATGAAAATATTTCATTCAGGTTTAAATTGTCGCTTTCTTTGATAACAGTTTATTGGGTTTATCGAATGTTTGTTTTGATGGAAAACGCCCTCTATGACCACTGGGTATTTTTGATTTTTTAACAACGTATTTTGTTTGGGTATTTTTCAAAAGATTGTAATCATATTTGTTCATTCTTTGGAAATATAAAACACGCCTTCCAACACTGCAGCAACGATCAAAATATGAAATATATACGTAAACAGTAGGCCCTTATTGACATGCAGAATCCTGGAATTATTTTTTGTCGTGTGTTTAAAATCAGAAAAATATACGGAATAAACTGCGCTATTAAATGTACGACAGCACTTAATTGGGTGGAAACTTTAGTTGCAGATACCTTTCAAAGAAATTAATCGTATTGCCCCCAATGGTGCGCCTGTGGGAAATGAATGACATTTCCATTCGAATTAAGGTTGGTCATTACAATTTCCCGAACGTGAGTGGGTGGGCGCGCAGGATAGTTTATATTAAAAAAGGTCCTTGACCCAATTTTTTACCTAACACGTGACCGGGTTCAATATAGCAATAAGCAATCTATTCGTAACAAATATATACAACACGCATAACTTATTCCATATGCATTTTTTCAAGTCTGTTCAAAGCTTTCCAAGTTTTTTACTTCAATAATTAAACTACACTTCAGAAAACTTTTCAAAAATAATTATAATTTAGATTCACTTGAATCGTTTATAACACTTTAAAAAATGTATTTGTTTTTACAAAATAGTTTTATATTTCCCCAAAATACATTAAATTCGTTCTTTAACCGTTTTTTGCTTTTCTGTCGGTGTCGGTGAGTTCGGATTCGCTGTCACAATTGCAGTAGTTAAATACATACGTAGACTGATATGGATGACAATCAGTAATTGTGAAATTGACAACTTCGAGTACCGTTTTAGTCAGACAAGGTCCAATTATTTATGTCTCAATTTTAAGTGTGTTTTACAGTAGTGCAACAGTTTGCTAAGCTAAAATGACATTTACCGCTCAGATTTTGAAGGGCGGCGGTCATCGCGCAGCGCGTGTTCGAATTTCATTTAAATAAACAGTAATTTTTTACGTCGCTATGAGTCCCACATCCAACAGAACGCGGCGCGACGACCGCCACCCTTTAAGCACAATAGAGTTAAATCGCAGTCATTTCTTGGTGAGCCTGAGAATCATCAAAGATAGTGTTGACAGTAGCGGAATGAACACACTTCAATTTATTGCTACATACGGTAGGTGACCCTACAAAACAACTGAGGCAGCAAATTGACTTAAATACTAGCATAATAACATTTTAGTTCATCATAGGGAAAGTAAATATGCTTTTCACGGTTACACCTTTTGTAGCTATAGCTACGGTGACGGTCGTGGATTCCACTCTAACCTTTGACATTTATCGCTGTCATAAATATCGATACCTTGACAGGAAGGTTGTTTTGACCACCGAAAGTAAATAACTCAACAAACAGTGAGGTCAATCAAGGGGACCTGACCCCCTTTCCGTACTTTTAGGAGACCTGGAAGATCGAAGAGATGTGTATTGTCTTCGTCATTCATTTGATTGTTATCGCAGGTCACGTGACACCGGAGTACTAGTATTCTAATTGAAATATTCAACAAGTTTCGCGTAGAAAACTACAGGGGTTTATTAGAACATACAATAACAAAATAATGAACTATTGAAGAGACTTTAAACACTTACGTGTATGTTTTTAGTGCCGTGCTCGTGGCTGGATGTAATTCATCTCGCGACACGTGGAACGAGGTTTAGCGACAGGGAACTACATCCTCCCAATTAAAGCTAATTGCGATATAACCGCAAACTTAAAAAAAAAGAATATTCGCCATGATCTAAAAATATCTTTATTACATGAAGATTTGATGCATATTTCAGAAATAACACATTTTGTAGATTCTAAGTACTCAAGCACTACTATTGGAGGCTACGGACAGGCGCTTATAGCTTCCGACGTGTACCGTCAACACGCCGGTCATTGAGGTGGCTGATCTACTTACGCATAATTGAACTAGCTTGGCAGCGCTAAGTAAGTTGACGTAGGGAAGTATTTCTCATAGAAGCATCAAGCTATTCTCATGCCCTTTCGGTTGAACCTTGATGTAAATTAGCGGCGAGCAAAGAATACATGTCTAGATGGGATTGCCGTACGGGGCATGCACACTGACTGATTTCAAAGCCCGGGTCAAAACATAATGGCTACAGCTTTTGCGTGGTTGGCAGTGGACACTATCAGAACAGACCCCGTGTTTTAATTGAATTACAAGTACTCTGCAACGAAGAAACTGCGTGGAATAACCGCGACACATAGTAAGCAATTGTTCAGTTGATATTTTGCAGGGACGCCGACGGAACAGGTGAGTGTACATTGCTACAGTTTACAGGTAAAACTCGTTTAAGAGACATCGTGAAATGATTACCAAACACGCAAAACAAACTGTTTAAGTTGGCGTGATACGTCGATCTGAAGTTGCACTTCCCCTGGTTAGGTTTCCCAAAAGACGTGATGCGGCAATCATGTATCCGAGCGCGTGAGTGCAAACACATTCCGATTACACATTTGTCGCTCGTGTCGTAGAACTATGTGACAACTCCAACTAGCCACGATCAGTCATAAAACCCAGGTTAACAATAATATGTCACAACACTTTCAAATAATAATCGTGCCGTAAATTTGACAGAAACATGGATGCACTGTGTGAACGGATTAGACATTACCCTAAAATTATCGTTAACTGTAAAACATTATGGGCTGTCCTGACAAGACCACCTTTTATCGTAGGACAATGCGGCCTCGCAATTCAAAAGTACCAGGTACTGACATTTGTCAACGAAGGTCAAGCTGACAGAGTGGTCTTGTCTTGTGATATATTCGCACGGTTTGTAGATTAGCCATTGGCGGTCCACGCTTTCAAATGACAATCGTCTGGGGGTGACCCCAGAGACGCACTTAGCGGTACCAACGACCCTCTTTTTTATGAGCTAGCATTATACGAGAATAAACACCTCAATAAATGAATGGCAATCTAAGTTCGACCCCAGCCACCCAGACTAGGCATTTAATGGACGAAAATGAACACTTCTGAACCGAGTACCTGTTGCCTTGCCTCAAGACAAATATACCGAGACCAAACTTGGAACTGCTGATATTTAATGATATTTATAATATCATTATTTATTTTATGGGATAGTCATTGGCAAAATGTCTTACGTCATATGTCAACTATATGCAAATTATATTAACTACTGTTTAACTTTATTACATAATAAGTTATCAAAAAATACGTTTTTCAAAAATGAGTTATCATTAATTTTAAAAGCAACGACTCGAAAAGTCATGGCGAGCAATGATGCACTTACTTGGTATAAACACACATGTTTAATGCAATATTGGACCCAGCAATGTTACACGACATAAATGCTAATAATAATATAACAAATATGTTAAAACATATTTTATACTGACCGGGAGAGTTCCCCATGCTGCGTTCACTTTCGCATGCCGGCGTGTCATGCTACAGCTCTGGTTACAGCATAATTTGTTTTAATAAAACGCAGCCGCGTTATCTACACTATTGCCCTATGTCATAGATGGAAGCGACCTGGCAATGAGACGAAATGTAAATAACGTTAATTAAACAATAAATTGGAAACGCGTATTTTATTATATCATTATATATATATATTCTTGTCAACATGGCCATATTATCATACCTACACTTTCTTGCTGGCATGCCCACGTTTATCGTCAGGTTAATTAAGTTAGATGCAAGAATATTTTATGAACTGATTTGTAGAAAATACTGTGGCTGTGATGTTGTGTAAGATCGATTCTAGTGAAACTTATCTTTCAGAATGGCATTGTACGTCTTCCAACTTTTCTTTTATGCTTAAAGTTTCTAGAAGTCAAACTCCTCAAACACAGCTACGTTGCACATGCTGTACACGGGACTGGCGACATTTTTCTCTTATAAAGAAAGTTTTATTGAAATGAACGCTGAAAACATAATGCTCACACATTTTTCTAAATTATTCCCAAGAGGAACAAATTTCGGATATCCGAACTAGTATTTGGGTTATTAACCTCTATTTTATGTATTTTGAATAATTTTCAATTGAAAATAGCATTTAAAGGGAAATCATAAAACCATGGATTATTTGGAAAAAATATTCGGGCACCATATTCACAGCGCTCTTAGCCATTTATTCGATGGATCACATCGATCGGCAACATATAAGAAATTTCAAAATTGTTTGATGGTTTTTATCAGCAACGGAAGCCCGATAAAATCCTCTTAATGCCGAAACGTATCAGGGACAGTTGGCGGCGGGCCACGTCTATATATAGTTTTTCCAATGAAGTGATCTCTTCCTGGGGTTGCTGACATTTGCATTACATCGTCAAAGACTGATATACTGAACTATCATTATTATTTCAGAACCTTAGGCGGAGATGGAAATTACGGAGAACAACATAGATGGTGGCAATAGACGGATTGGAAAAGAGCAGCTCATCAACGAGAATGGAAACGAGAAGAAAGAATCGGACGACGACATCAAAGTTATTGATCCTGATATGATGTGCGGTATTGGAAGATGGCAACCCAAATTCCTCCAGTGTTTTGCAAATATAAAGTGTGTCTTCTTCCTCTTCTGTACCGCAAATTTTCTCTTCAGCTTCAGTTTCAGCGTCTTCATATCCACCATAACAAGTATCCAGAAGCGTTACGCGCTTCCGAGTTTGTTCTTCGGTCTAAATGCGACTCTTTTTGATAGCGCGACTTTACTAAGCGTCCTGTTCGTTGCGTACTTGGGAGGCAGACCCGGAAGCCATCGCCCGCGTTGGGTTGGTATAGGATTAGTGCTCGGGGCGATAAGCTTATCGTCTATTTCTTTGAACCATTTCATGTCGTCGCCATATGAATACGGTAAAGTGGATTTAAAATCAAATATAACTACACTGTGTTCCGAAGAGTATGACTACATGAAAGTAAACCGTAGCTTAACGGATTGCTCGTCGGACAGCGCACGCGCGGCAGAGTCGGATAGTGTAAGGATGGCAGTTATGATGCTATTAGGGCATACATTGGCAGGAATATGCTACACTCCGTTAGTTGTATTAACACCTACATACTTAGACGATTTCATTGGTAAAAAGAAATCACCACTATATTTAGGTAAGTTGGAATTGCACTCAGTATACAATACGATTGTAGTTATTGTGAACTATTTCAAAAGTTTTTTCTTTTACCCACAAAGTCGATGCTGGCACGCAGCTTTTATTCTAATTTTTAAATTGTCAAAATAATTATGCTTTTAATTTGATTTTTAATAACAACGTTTTTTAAAATTCGAACAAAGTCCTAACAAAAAGTTGTGACGCTGTAACCAGAAATGTTATACATTTTGTCTGGGTCTTAAAAACAGCGTTGAACTACGGTTAATTAATATAATTCGACAGTGGTATAGTGTACATTCTCTCATTTGCTCATCATTGATTCAATGCATGCCGCGTGACATTTAAAACACCGTTTCAATACATGTATGTACAGAGAACCACTATCCACAAATTGTCTGTAGAACGTGTTTGAACTTAACCCTTTTCTGTATTGGATGTGAAGAAAGTCACAATTAATAGCATGTAAGTCGCAATCCAGTTGTAGCAAATATTGAAGTGTGACTCAGAATGGCATTACAAACCGAAGCAATTGCATTGTTCTGGCGAGAACATGAGAGAAGGAACTGAATTATCAATGCATTGTGTGTTGCTGGAAAAGTTTGTGTATGTCTGTTCCATGCTTAAATGTCACGTAATGTAAATATGTCTCTTTCTATCCAGGTATATTCTACGCTATGTATTCTCTTGGACCAGTCGTTGGATTCCCCTTCTCCTCTATCTTCGTCAGCATATATGTGGATGTGGGTCGGGTTGACTTGACAACCGTGGATTTAACTCCAGACGACGCGCGATGGGTCGGCGCTTGGTGGTTGGGGTTCATCGTGGAAGGGATTTTGACGTTGATGGTTGCCATTCCGTTGTTATTTGCACCAAAGAAACTGGCGCTGTCAAAAGATAAATTGAATGATGTGATGCAGGAGAGAAAACACGAAATATCGCTGAAAAACAACGATGGGGATGACGATGAAAACGCTGCGGGCCAAGAAGCGTTGAAACGAATCAAAGGTAGCTGGTCTACGCACGAAAGGGCGGTAGTCGTCGCGCTGCGCATGTGCGACATTTGTGTTGATAAACATTGATTTTCCCACAATACAATGCGCTCATCCATGTACGAGGTTCGACCTGGGTGCGACTAGCACTAATTACCGCTGATGACACCTTCGACACCTTCTAAATACCTAATAATATACGCAATTATAGCTTGACAACGTCTCAGTTCGTACTCTGATCTGCGCATTAGTCAAAGTCGCAATCTTTGTTTATATAGACCCATATATCTCGCGTATGCGTGGCGCGACGACTACCGCCCTTTAATAAAAATAACATTAAAATTATTGAAGATGTTAACATAATTTTGTTTGGTCATGTGGATTGTTGGGACAGTCTGGGAAAAATGAGAAGCATTCTGGCAAAATGTGTGACAGCACAATTATTGAGTGTATTCAAAACATGAAAACTTTGACATTGACCCAAGCTTGGCCTTTAGAACATGACAACGATGGACAGTTTTTCTTTTTGTTACCTTAATGAGCTGTAATAGTCAATATAACTTTGTTATTGTGTAAACACCTGTTCTCAGCCACTGAGTTAAAAGGCAATGGTCGTCGCACCACGCATGTGCGACACTTATGCTGATAAATATTTATTTTCACATAATAAAATACATATCTTGCGCATGCGTGTCGTGACGACCACCGTCATTTAACAAACAATTTAGACAGGTATGGCAAACTGGACATATTTACTGTGCCAATAGTATTCGTATATATAATTATTTCACATGGTTAGAATCTAAGATACAGTGTTATGAATTTACTTTAAGTAGTATATGTTATTGTTGCATAAACAAATTACATATATTATTCTAATTCAAACTATTGGATTCATTTCTGTGTCAATAATTTATTTTATAGAATTTCCAAAAGCTCTTGGTCGGTTATTCACAAACTTGTCCCTCATTTCTATCGCAATCGCTTACGGACTAGAGGTTGCCATTATCTCAGGATTGGTGACTTTCGCCACTAAATACACAGAGGTACAATTTCGCATTTCTGCTACAATGAGCGCTAATATAACCGGTAAGTAATCATTGAGGTTACATTCACACTGTGCAAATATATAAAATCTCCACTCTCATGTATGACAAGCAAAGCCTCGTAATTCAGCCAGTGTACATTGTTTACTATAAATCCAAATTAATTTAACATTTTCACCACCAGACTTTCTCGACCAAATTTGTCTGTACTTTTTTCTTATATTCTTCGATATTTCTGGAAAAAAACCTTAATTCTTTGAGTTAATTTTTCTGTTTTTACAATAACAATTGGCGATTCTTGTCCCAGTCTTCTGAAGGAAAGTGAAAACTATAAAAGGGAGTATTTTGTGAATTAAGAAACCTGCTCACATTCATATTTTTAGCTCCACTGTTGACAAAGTCAACACAGCGGAGCTGTTCTTATTACTGGTTGTCCGTCGCCGTTGTCGTCAACTTTACAATTTCAACTTCTTCTTCGAAACCGCAAGTCAGAATGTTTATGAATTTGATATGCAAGTACCTTTGATGGTTCTTTCTCAGATTTTTTCATTTCATGTCAAAATCTCAAATTCTCTATTTTTGGAGAATATTTTTGTCATTTTTGGTAAAAAGTGATATTTTCGACTCCTTGTTAAAAACTTCGAGTTCAATTCCTTTGATATTACATATATAGATACTACATGTGGACCTTTCTCAGATTTGTTCAGTTTGTCATGATATCTTCAATTCTCCAATTTTGGTGAATATTTTTTGCAATTCTTGGTAAAAAGTGATATTTTCGACTTCTTGTCGAAAACCGCAAGTCAAATTGCTTTGATATTACATATATAGGTACTACACGTGGACTTTTCTCAGATTTGTTCATTTCGTGATGATATCTTCAATTCTCTAAATTTTGGTGAATATTTTTGTCATTTTCGGTAAAAAGTGATATTTTAGACTTCTTGTTAAAAACCCAAAGTCCAATTGCTTTGATATTACATATATATGTACTACATGTGGACCTCTCTCAGAATTGTTCATTTTGTGATGATATCTTAAATTCTCTAATTTTAGTGAATATTTTTGTAAGTTTTGGTAAAAAGTGATATTTTCGACTTCTTGTTGAAAACTGTAAGTCCATTTGCTTTGATATTATGCATATAAGGTACTACACGTGGGCCTCTCTCATATTTGTTCATTTCATGATGATATCTTCAATTATTCTATTTTGGGGAATATTTTTGTTATTTTGGGTGAAAAGTGATATTTTTGAATTCTTGTTGAAAACAGCAATTCTGATTGCGTTGATACTATACATATTGTTTGTTTTCTAATGATATCTTCAGTTATTTAATTGAAATGTGCATTGCTAACAGCGGAGCTATCTCAGCCGACAGACTGCTTGTTCATTTCAATTATATCAATCATTTTATGGTGTATATTGGCCTGAATATTGTTTGTGTAGTGAAATGTTTAACTATTTATATGTAAATGTCACCACATGAATATTCGATTTCAGGTGTTGGTCTCGTTATATCTTCTACCATTGGTACATTGCTTGGTGGATACTTCCTAAGACGTTTCAAACCCGACCTGGTAACAACTGTCAAATATGTTGTTATTATTGCTATATTAAACGTATTTCTACCGATACCATTGTTGTTCTTGGGATGTAATAATGAAGAGTTTGCTGGGGTAACCATTCCATACCAAGAGAGAAACATCGTCACTGTCAATGACACATGGGAAAGGTAAGTTGATATACAAATGCTGGGGATTACATTTTTGTTATTATGATATTAACAGGGGTAAAACGTGACACAGATCTCTCTAACGATTACCGAATATGCTACTATAAAAACCTATACATCATCTGAAAGCTTAGATATATATGCGAATATATTTGACTGCGATGAGCCCCGATGTTACAGAGTAACTTGGCCGTTCTGAAAAGTATATAAATAATAAATAAAAGAACATACGGTAGTGTATAAACTGTACAAATGCTTCCCTGAACGATTAACTGACGCTCAATTTCTTTATTGTGCTTTTTTGACTGTTGAGACGAGAATGACCTGTACATTGCACAATATGTTGGTAACGCCGAAGGCATTTATATAAATATGAATATCGTTTCTAGGTACGACCAGATAAACACAGACATGGTTCCGATAATTAGTATTTATCATGCATCATATACTAGTATTAACCTTTTTCTCACCTGTCGCTTTACATCCAATACTACGATAAAGATGTTCCGTTTTCGACATGGAGTGAAAATCTTTCTTTTTTGAGAAAAATATTTTGACAAGACAAGAAATTCATAAATATATTAAAAATAAGTCTTAGCGAAATGTATTCCATATGCACACGAATGAAAACATTCATAATTATCAATTACGCAATTATTTTACAGAAAAAAATTGCTATATTATTTTTTGCATTTTATTTGTCTTTACGGCTGAAAGAAGTTGAATAAAATTAGAAACTGTATTGTGTGTATGAACAATAACTTTAATACATATGATTCTACTTGGTTAAAACACTGTATTTTGTGCATAAAAACAAAATTTCACAATGTCGAAAACGATCTTTATCGTAGTGTCCACAAAGCAAATGAACATTTCCCAACAAAAACTTTATAAGAAGAGGCACCAAATAGGGTACCAAATTTGAAATTGTAATCTGCTAGATTGCTCCATTTCTGTTTCAGTGAAGACTTGTGGCCTGACTCTCCACTGGTGTCACCGTGTAACATATATTGCGACTGCACAGATAGTAGGTACGATCCGGTGTGTGGCAGTGACGGTATTACATACTTTTCCTCGTGCTTTGCAGGCTGCACTGAAACAGCCACACATAAGGTAATTAAGTGATACCGCCCATGGCGCCTTTAACATTATGTCTCAAAGTATTTTCCATGTATGATAGCCACTCGCGCTGATAGTTTCTAGGCTGAATGAATGAGTATTTGCAAATTATTTCTTTTCACTACTATATACGATGGAAACTGAGAAAATTATTATTTTAACACACATATACACATCCAAAATGCGGTAGAGCTTCGACTTTTCGTGTGAATATAAAAGATCAACACGCACTCTACCCAGCTAGTAAATATATTACACCTAAACTTGTTTTTAAAAATAGGTGCGTGACTAAATAGCAAATGACACTGGACATGAACCAGAGAATCCGAGAAAACAGTACCTCGCCTGAAACCACCAAAGTAAAAAAAAATGATTCCATAGGCACAGACAAACAATACTAAACAAACGAATCTATTGAATCGTATACGAGTATGACTAATACCTCAACTTTGTTTAAGCCCATATGTAAAGAAACCATTGTCCAACACTCCACTATTAACTTACCTACGGACAACTGACACCCATTTGTGATAAAGAAGGCTCTAACATGAAAAGGATTAAGATCGAGATCTCGAAAAAAAAATACATTGAAGCAAACTAATTGGGCAACCTTGCAAATCTAGGTCGGTAGTTAGAGTACCATTGCTCTCGAGGTGTCAAGTACCATTATTAGAAAAGTTAATCGTAGACTGTAGTTTAGCATCCCAACTGTGAAACAAGTTTTTATTTCACAATACAAGTTCCTGCACATTATCTTGGGTTATTGACATTATCAAATAGGAAGTCTTCCACATTGATTTAACGCATTGTATAGGAATTCATAAGCGGTCTTTATTATGGTTTCACACTACAATTACTTTATGTGTAAAGGCGTATTTTGAATTAAACAAAAAAAAAAACATTTTGCAAGAAGAAGCGGCATGAATGTATTTGAAACGGTTTTATTGGATATGACGCAAGAATAACCAAGTCGTATATTTGTAAGTGGCATTTTACTAAAGGGGACTACTCTGGGGAGGGGGGGGGGGTGTCTAATATTTCTATAGGTAAAATAGCCCTATTTACAGTGTCGTCTTTTTTAGGGGGGATTGAACTTGATGCATAAGCAGAAAGTTTATTTTTTATTAACTTTTTTTTTATAGAACTTTAGTTCGTGTTCATGTATAAACCCTGGAACCTCAGTATTATCTGAACAGACAGCCCAGATTGGCATATGTGGATGGCAGTGTACATCTATGTTGATCCTTTTCACAGTCGTCATCTTTATCGAGAGTCTCATCGCTTCACTACCACTAACTGCTTTTGTGATTATAACATTTCGGTAAGTTCGTCAAGTGCATACTAGTATCATATCTTCATATTGGTATTAATAATCTTAAAAAAAACTGTGTTTAGGTATTTCCATTTTCAAATAATGTGCGTTCCGAATC